ATAATTAAAGCATACAGAGAACAGGCCTGTAGAAAGAATTAAAAGGGACCTAGAGGGGTAAAGACTGTCTATCCCTAGGCCTTCTACAAGTCCCCAACACCGGAAATCTTTATCAAACAAAACACTGGTCCTCCCCACCTCTCCACCTTCAACAGAAGCAGCTGCGACACGAGTTTTGGAATTTCTGATCACCCTACCCAGAGAAGGGAGAACCCTGTAGGAAGAGGCAGATAAAATAAGCCTGATTTCCTCCCCCCACCCCTACTTTGCATAGTCACATACGCCTGTGAAAAATGGAGATCAAACGCTACTATTCTGATCCAGTAACATTTTACACCCACTTTTCTTCAATGTAAATGACTAATGTGCAAAGCAGGGGAGTTGTGTCCAAATCAATCTAATCCCGTCTCTGATTTCTACCCAAATACCCTACCTTAAACTCCTCTGCAGCCGCTTCAATGGGAAGGACTGTGTGAGCTCTGTGTTCTCGAGACTCTCTGCAAACCCTGCAGATGAGGGTCCGGTCCTCTTTGCAGTAGAGCTTCAAATCGTCTTGATGTTTCTTGCATTCTCCTTCTAGGCGTCTCGCTATGCCCACCACCGCCTCCACCTGCTTGTTAGGCCTCAGCTCCGCCTCGGGGAGAGGTTTCCTGCATTGGGGGCACACTCCTGTGCCCGACGCCCCCCAGCAGTCGGTGATACAGGCTTGGCAGTAATTGTGCCCACAGTCTAGAATCACTGGGTCTTTAAAGGGCTCCAGGCAGATGGGACAAACCAGCTCATCGTGGAGCTCTTCCCCCCAGTTCGTATCTGACATGGCTGCTGCGAAAAAGACAAACACACTTTACTTTCACTTTTCTCTAATGTTTGTCGAGACTTGGAGCTGGCCCCCGCCCTTCCTGTAGCCTTTAGTGCAGTTAGTTAGTTCCTGATCTGTTGCAAGGGGGGGGGGGAATAGCAGAGAGCTGCAGGCCCAGTAACATCTGCTGAAGCTGCTGCCCTCACTTGGATTAAAATCTGCTGCCTGCTGTTCACAGGGGCTAAAAGGGGGCAAATCAGGGGTGGGTTGGGCAGAGTCTGAGCCGGGGGTGGAAACTGACTGTGTGTGTGGGTCAAACAGCTGGAGGCAGGGGCAGGAGAGGGGCAAAATTGGGAGAGGGGGAAGAGCCAGGTTAAGCCCAGGGGTGAGGGGCTCCCAGACGGTGGCAAAGGGCAAAACCCCGGCACGGGGGAGGGCAGAGGGGGAACAGTTACCCCGATGGGATGAAACACCTGCTATGTTTGCAAACAGTGGGTGGGGCAGAGGAACTTTTTTATTCCCCTCTCAAAGGACAATACGTCACAGGACCTGCTTCCCAGGGCCGTGTCCTTAAGGGCACAGGGCGTCCCAATGCCTAGACATGGCAACTCCTCTCTATCTAAGGGCTTGTCTTCACTACCCGCCCGGATCGGCAGGTAGAAATTGATCTCTCGGGGATCGATTTATCGCGTCTCGTCGGGACACGATAATCGATCCCCGAATCAACGCACGTACTCCACCAGCCCAGGTAGGAGAAAGCGCCGTCGACAGGGGAGCCGCGGCGGTCAATTTGCCGCCGTCCTCACAGCGGGGTAAGTCGGATCTGATATGTCGAATTCAGCTACGCTATTCCCGTAGCTGAATTTGTGTATCTGAAATCAATTCACCCCCCCCCTCCCGTAGTGTAGACGTAGCCTTATATAACGTACTGAGACGCTACAGGAGACTTGATTCAGAAATAGTTTTTACCCCCCCCCCAAAAAAAAACCCTGTGTCGCACAGTTTAAGTAGTTAAAAGAATCCCTTACCGTTTATATGTCGGTGTAAAGTCTCATAACAGTTCACAGATTTGTCTTATCTGCTGCTTCTAATTGTTTACTTTTTAAAATGTTATTTTTATTACTCTGAGCACGTCACCATATACCTTTGTCAGCATTGTGAACATGATGGAACCTTAGCATCACTCCGATATTTCATATCAGTCCTACATTCTTCATCATGTTACGCCTTTACATCTTACACTGGGCATCAAAGAAAGAACTGAACGGGCTTTTAGGTCTCTGTTCATTTTAAATTTCTTTTGGCAAAATCCATGTGGAAACCGACCTTTGTTTCTATTTCAAAATACACCTCCCACAGCAAACCAGAGCTTTCCAGAAAGTTGTAACAGACAAATTCTTCTCCCAGGTGCATCCGGTGGGCAATTTTAATAGAGTGAACAGGAGAACACAAGCAGTTTGTCTACACAGGGAAAATGAATTATGTTAGAAAATATATTAACATATTTAAACGAACGCTGATACATATGACTTGTGGTTTTGCAAATCTCACTCACAAGTTTCATTGAAAATCAATGAGATTTAAGTCACTTGGGTTCTTTAGAAATTCCAGCCTTAGTATGTCGTATACACAGTAACGGCAGTATTTAAAATATATTAGTGGTTGTGGCTAGTGAATGACCAGCTAACATGATTTTAAACACACGGTTCATCTAGAGCAGGGGTGGGCAAACTACGGCCTGGGGGCCGCATCCGGCCCTCCAGGCATTTTAATTCAGCCCTTGAGCTCCTGCTGGGGAGCGGGGTTGGGGGATTGCCCCACTCCATGTGGCCCCCAGAAGCAGCGGCATGTCACCCCCCCGGCTCCTACACATAGGAGCAGCCAGGGAGCTTCGCACACTGCCCCACCCCAAGCGTCGCCCCGACAGATCCCATTGGCCGGAAACCACAGCCAATGGTAGCTGTAGGGGTGGCACCTGCGGACGGGGCAGCATGCAGAGCCGCCTGGCCACGCCTCTGTGTAGGACTTGGAGGGGGGACATGCCACTGCTTCTGGGAGCTGCTTGAGGTAAGCGCCACCCGGAGCCTGCACCTCCGACCCCCTCCCATGCCCTAACTCCCTGCCCCAGCCCTGATCCCCTTCCTGCCCTCCGAACTCCTCGGTCCCAGCCCAGAGCACCCTCCTGCACCCCCAACCCCTCATCCCCAGCCCCACCCCAGAGCCCGCACCCCCAGAGAGAGCCCTCACCCCCCTGCACCCCAACTCCCAATTTTGTGAGCATTCATGGCCCGCCATACAATTTCCATACCCAGATATGACCCTCAGGCCAAAAAGTTTGCCCACCCCTGATCTAGAGAAACTGGAGCTGCAGTGCTTTAGAGGGAAAAATTAGATGTAGAGCTGTGTGAGTAACTGATTTTCTGGTTCACTAGTGCTTCTGAAAGCTTGGGATAAAAGTCCTTTCAGATTGACCCAAAACAAACATATTTTTTGAAATTTTTTGCTCACTGAAAAGTAAAAAAAAAATCGTTTTGGGTAGAACAAAACATTTCATTTTTTGAGTTCAGGCTTTCATCAAGATCATTCATGTTTTTTAGAACTGGGAAAAGTTTCTCAACAAAATTTCATTTTGAATCAAAAAATCAGAATGTTGTTTGGACATTTTCCAAACAAAACATTGTTTCTTTGGGGAGGTTTTAAGTTGAAACAATTTGGAGAATTTGACCCAAATTCGTGAAATGTTTCAGTCGACCCGAATCTGCATTTTCCTCTTTAAAAGTTTGTTGCAGAAACCTGCCCAGCTCCAGCGAGAGGGTCCTGCTGTTTGTGAAAAGGCTCTTTGCCCTCTGGGAGCTCAGAAGCTCTGATAGCAAAGCACCTTAGGTGGGGGAAAATTTGGACACTTTCCTCTCTGGTGACAGGGGGACTGATGGGGGGGCCCAGAAATTGGAGCCATCGGTGGCATAGGTGCTGACTTCTGCTGGTGCTGGGGAGTGCTCAATCCCCCTCTGCCCCTAGCCCCACCCTGACTCCACCCCTGCCCCACCCCTCCTGCCCCTGCCCCGCCCCCATTCCACCCCCTTCCCCAAAGTCCCTGCCCCAACTCCGCCCCCTTCCTGCCCCTATTCCGACTCCTTCCCCAAATCCCCGCCCCAGCCCCGCCCCCTCCCCGAGCGCGCCGCATTCCCGCTCCTCCCCCTCCCTCCTGGAGCTTGTTACACCACGAAACAGCTGTTTGCTGGGAGGTAGGCGGAGAAGTGGGGACGCAGTGCGCTCAGAGGAGGAGGCGGACGTGGGGCGGGGAGGGGAGCTTGGCTGCTGGTGGGTGCAGAGCACACACTAATTTTTCCCTGTGGATGCTTCAGCCCTGGAGCACCCATGGAGTCGGCGCCTATGATCTGTGGCCTCCCATACAAATATCCCCTATCCCTGAACCATTCCTCCCCAGGGCTGTGGGAGGGGACTCAGGAGTTCCTGTTCCCTCCACTGCTCCCAAATTGGGGAAGGAACCCAGAACCCCGTTTCCTCCCCAGGCTGCCTCCATCAATGTGGAAAATACTCCCGTCTCTCCCGTCTTCCCCTCTATGCTGCTGCTCCTAGGCAAAAAGGGAGGTCACAGCAGTGTGGGAGAGTACATGAGGGGGTTGGAGCTGTGCTGTGGGAGGACTTCTCTCCACTCTGCCAGCCGCAGGGGCGGCTCCAGGCATCAGCGCAGCAAGCGCGTGCCTGGGGCAGCAAGCTGTGCGGGGGGCGGCCTGCCGGTCACTGTGAGGGGGGCAGTCAGGCTGCCTATTGCGGCATGCCTGCGGGAGGTCCACCGGTTCTGTGGCTTTGGGGGCAATTCGGCAGTGGGGACGCCAACGGTGCGACACCGGCGGACTTCCTGCAGGCAAGCTGCTGAATCCGCATGATGTGCTGCTGAAAGCCACCTGACTGCCGTGCTTGGGGTGGCAAAAAGCACAGAGCCGCCCCTGTCTGTATGTATCATTCCTGTATGAGAAGTTAGGAATATGAAGGATAAATCTGAGGGCCCTTAATGGTGCTTTAGGAACTTGATGGGTCCCTTTTACCAGAACAATTGGCTGTGAATGGTTTTGTTTACCTGCAAACCTTCCTGTGTACGTGTGGGTCAGCCCATAAAGAATGGAGACTAGGGTCTTACAGAAACATGTGACCATGTCACCTGATATAGGAATCCATCTTGAAGCTGGTGGGGGTGGGGAATCAAAGGGAAATTCTATTTAAGGCAGGGGAAGCAAACAATGAGGGTCTTCAGCTGGTTTTAGAGATGGCCTCCCCACCCCAAAGAGATACCTGAAAGCACCTGGAAACAAAAGGACTGTCACTACAGGGGTGGGAAAGAACAGGCTGGACCCAGATCAGAAAAGGCAACTGACCTGAGAGACTTTACCTGACATAATTCCGCACCCTAGATGTTATCGTTTGTAACCAGTTTCTTAGTGTATTAAGCTTAGCCTGGCGTGTTTGTTTTATTTTGCTGAGTAACTTACTTTGTTCTGTCTGTTATCTCTTATCAGGGCTGGATTAACTTTTTGTGGGCCCGGTGCCAAACATATTTGTGGGCCCCCCTGGGGAATGATTGTAAAAGGGGCCGGGGGTAAAAGCACAGTGGGGCAGGAGCTAGGGTTGGTCTCTGGAGCAAGGGAGGGGTTGGGGTAAACTGCAAGGGCAGCAGGGCTAGGGAGAGGGTTAACAGGATCCCCCGCCCCGCCACCCAGATAGAGCGGGTGCCTACGTGGTTCTAGCCCATTCTCCTGGTCTCCTCTCTGCACTGAGCTGCCCCTCTTCCCACAGCAGCAGGACAGGTTCTCTTCCAGCCCTCGGGGGTGGGTGTTGGGAGTGGGAGGAACGGAGGCTAATGTGGTTACTCCTATAACCGGACGTTTAGTTTCCACTCAGCACTGCTAACTGTAACTGGACACTCAGGTCCCATTTTCTACTGGAGTTTCCAGTCTAAAACTGGATACCTGGCAACAGGGCTGCCGGAAAAGCCTGAGTGGGGGAGAGGGGCAAGCAATCATTTTTAAAAGTAAGAGGGCTAAGCCTTAAGGGGGGGCAAGTGGTGGGTGGGCGAGGGAGTGGAGAGGAGCTAGTGGGCAGGGCCATGTCTGCTGTACTGCCCAGGTAGGTTGGAAACTGGGGATCAGCTGACACACTATCCAGGGCCGGTGCAAGGATATTTTGCACCGTAGGCGAAACTTCCACCTTGCCAGGGGTGGCAGCCACCAGCTCCGCTCAGCCTGCTGCCCGCCGGGGTCCCAGCCGCCAGCTCCGCTAGGCCTGCCATTAAAGAAAAAGTTGGCTTGCGTGCCACCTTTGGCACGCGTACGGTAGGTTGAGGACCCCTTTTCTAGTGTATACCGTGTGTACTGTACTTTATGGTAATTTTCACTTTATACAATTTGCCACTTACGCGGTGCCTTTAGAACCTAAGCCCTGTGTAAGATATGACTCCACTGTAGTGGAAATTTTTTGGGGGGGCACTGCTTTTTGGCACCCCCAAATGTTGGTACCCTAGGCGGTCCCCAAGTTCGCCTAGAGGTTACACCAGCCCTTACGGTGTCCCCAGCCCAGGTGACCTGACAGCCAGTGGTGGATTTAGAGTTAGTGGGGCCCCCCGCCCTGTGCTTAGCTTCATTTTTGGGGCTCCTCCTTGGGACCCAGCCAAGAAAAAGAACATTCTCTCTTATCTCCCCCTGCCCCCGTTTTTCAGCCTTTTTTTCTTCATCCCCCTCCTATAAGTAATAGCAAGTAAATGAAAATAAAGTGCGGTACCTTGATTGTTCTTGTCGTCCAACTTATTTTTCCACAGACCACTTGAAAATCAGAGGGTCTCAACGGACCACTTAATGATCTTTCCAAATATTGTAAAAAAATGTTTGGGTGCAGGGTCTGGCCAGGAGCTAGGGTGAGGGGGGGGGAGGGCTCAGGGTTGGGGCAGGAGGTTGGGGTGTGAAGTACTTACCTGGGGCAGCTCCTGTTTGGATCTCAGGATAGGGGTGGGGATGTGGGGGGGGGGCAGGGGTCAGGACAGGGGGCTGGATGTGTGTGAGGGGGTACAGGGGGCTGTGTGTGTGGGGGGAGTGCAGGAGTCAGGGTGGGCAAAGGGCTGAGGGTGTGGACTGGGGTCATGGGGGTTCTCACACAGGGGGCTGGAGGGGATATGCCCCAATTCCAGCCCCTTCCCCAAGGCCTCACCCACTCCTCTTCTCCTCCTCCCCCCAGAGTGGCGTGCTGTGGCTCACTCCTCCTCTCCCCTCGTGCCGGCAAGGACCCGATCCAGCTGATCAGCGGAGGGGTGGGGGGGGAGAGGGAACGTAGCACGCTGGGGAATGAGGTGGGGGAGGAGCCAGGCTGCCAGCAGAGGCTGCCACGGAGCCCCAGCAGCTTCAAGCTTTTGACCCCACAGGAGAGAAGGAGAGAGCCGGGGGCGGAGAAGAGCGGGTCAGGGCCCCTTTCGACCGTGGGCCCAATGCCAGTGTAAATCCGGTACTGTTTCCCCGTCAAGGGTAACAGACTCCTCCTGGTTTCTGTCTTCCATCTGGGTAGGGGAGGAGAAAAGGGCTTGTAGAACCATGGAGCGAGTCTGCAATGAGAGTGTGCCTTAGACAATCAGGAAGACCAACCATGCTTTACATTTGCATCTGTCCTTAATCCAAACTGGCTTCAGGTGTAGCCAAATTCTAACAGAACCCAGGAGTCCTGGCTCCCAGCCACCCCTCCCTCCAACCACTGGACCCCAGTCCCCAGAGCTAGGGAGACTACTCAGGAGTCCTGGCTCCCAGCCCCCCTGCTCTAACCCACCAGACCCCACTCCCCTCCCAGAGCCAGAGAGAGAACCCAGATGCTCTAGGGATGGCGATCAGGGCCAGATTCGGATCTTAGTGACTCTGGTGTAAATCCAAAGCCAGTGGAACTGCTCCAGTGTAATTCCGGGTGAAATCAGACCCAACGTTTCATTTTCCACCAGCTCCATTCCCCCAATGAGGCTGAGTCCTCCACACACTAATCTCCCCTGTGCCTCAAAGGGAGATCTCAGACCCCATGACCTGTTTTCTCTCCCACTTTCAGAGCCAGCAAGTTTATTACCATGTCTCCATCCACCCCCATTGTCCACCGGTACCTGGAACCGCCGTGAGGGACCGATGATGGATCCCTGTGCCTCGATTTCCACCCACCCGGAGGTGCTGAGCGTGGAGAACATCGCCAAGGTGCGGAATTGGTTGGCGTCCCTGGGTGGCCTTTCTCACCCCATGGAGGAGTGTCTGGACCATGCACTGCTGAAGTTCAGCCGGGAGGCTGGCTGCCTGCAGGAGAACGCCCGGCTGGTGATCTGCTGTGAGAGGCAGCAGCTGGAGTTCATCTCAGGCCAGGGCGAGACACCATCCAGGTCTCCTACGTCCAGAGGGTGCCCTGCTATAGGGTGCAGCTCCCTGACTTTCACAGTCCAGTGGAGAGTCCGGCGACTGACTGAGCCGGTCCATTGTCAGGGGCGCATATTAGTAGTATGTCCAGTAGAGTCTGTGGGGAACTATTCCTGTGAGTCATTTGACAATAAACCTGGCCGGGGGCCTTCGGACCTTATCAGAGGTCATTGGGGGTTCTCTTGGGGTCTGCTGTGTTGGGGTCTGCAGAGCCGGGGCAGCACCCAGAGGAGACACGCACGCAGCCGACTGTTATCACCATCCAACAAGAGCAGAGCACCACACTGGTGACGTCTGACAACACCCCATACGAGTGCGTGGAGGGGGAGAGGGGCTAGGTACAGGCTGTGGGGTGGGTGGGAGGAGGAATTATGGGGTGCTGGGCTGATTAGGTTGGGTACAGGAGCGTTGGGTACAGACATGGGGGGCTGGGTAATCAGATTCAAAGAGGCCAGAGGAACCCCCGCTAGCCTTAGTTTCAAAGTTACAGCAACACAGGGATCAACCTCCCTCTAGCAAAGGAACATTCACAAGTTGAGAAAAGGAAGATAAAACAAACACGCCTTGTCTGGCTGTTACTTACAAGTTTGAAATAGGAGAGACTTGTTCAGAAAAATTTGGAGAGCCTGGATTGATGTCTGGTCCCTCTTAGTCCCAAGAGCGAACACACACACAAAACAAAGGGCAGGAACAAAAGCCTCCCCCAACCCCCAGATTTGAAAGTATCTTGCCCCCTTATTGGTCCTTTGGGTCAGGTGTCAGCCAGGTTACCTGAGCTTCTTAACCCTTTACAGGTAAAAGGATTTTGGTGTCTTTGGCCAGGAGGAATTTTATGGGATTGTACACAGGAGGGTTGTTACCCTTCCCTTTATAGTTATGACACACACACACCCCAGAGTTGCTGGAACAGGAGGGATCAGGGGCTTCCTCTTGCCCAGGGGGTAGATGAGAGATGATCAGACGCCCTGAGCTCTGGCACCCAAACAACACCTCCAAGCAGTAATGGGTTCAGACAGATGGGGGGCTCAGGACCCTGGGGTGACCCCACTGTCCTCCCAGAGCCAGGATAGAACCCAGGTGTCCTAGCTCACAGCCCCCCCTGCTCTCACCACCAGCCCCCACTACCCCCCCCCCCCAAGCTGGGGAGAAAACCCAAGAATCCTGGCTCCCAGCTCCCCCTACGCTAACCACTAGCCCCCACTCCCCTCCCAGAGCCAGGGAGAGAACCCGGATGCCCTAGGGATGGCGATCAGAGACAGACTCGGATCTCAGGGTCTCCGGTGTAAACCCAGAACCCAGCTTACTTCAGTGTAAGGAAAGGAAAAAGCAGCCCCAATAGTTCATTTTCCACACCCAGCCCCCCCAAACCCTCTGGCCCCCTGCAGTGCCCTGTACTCACACCTCCCCTCCGCGTATAGCTCCTACCTCCCCAGAGCCCTGCCCCCTTGGACCCAACTCCCCGCCCAGTGTTGGCGTCTTGTAACAGGACAGACACACTGACCCGGGCCCCTACCACCCCCCATGTCTCTGGCCAGGAGGATGTGGTTTCTGTACCCTCAGGGGGTCACCAGGACGCCCCCCACAGCCTCTCCCGCTGGCCCTTAACTTTCAATTTCCCTGTCAGGGGTCATCCAGACCCATCCGGGTTTCTGCCTCCCCCCTGGGCCAGGGAGTTGATGTTGCCAGATTTCTACCTCATTAATAGCCCCAAGTCACTGACAAACTCCAAAAGGAGCCCGATCCGCATCTCTCCCATCCACACGGGCTGGCTAGGGTTCTTGGGCACTGCCATTCTCCCTAAACGGGCTTCCTTTCACACGTCCTTCAAGAAATCTCTCGAACAAGCCGAGCCGAACCCGTCTGTAGCAATGCAATGATTCACTACTGCGGCACCTGCTGCTGGTCGTCCAGGAATTAGCTTTTTCCAAAGCACAGAGCACCCTCTGCTGGCCAGTGTCTCACCTGCCACTGGCCCTGTGTCCCTCCCAGACCACGGTGCCTCTTTCCCTAGGGGTGCTGCCCCCAGCAGTGCCCCTTTGTCTCTGGGTTCTGCCCACTGCAGTAACCCACAGATCTGGGTCTCCCCTCCCAGGGGAACCCCAACCCTCCATCCCCACCTTGCCTAAGTGGCTACTGCCAGTCACCATCTAGCCCCCGCTCCCTGGGGCAGACTGCCATCTGTAATGGCCACTCATCAGTGGCAAGGGGTTAGGAGCAGCTGCCCCTGCTTAGCCCTGGGCTGCAACTCCGCAACCCCAGTACCTGTTTACGCCCTCGCCAAGGCCTGCAGCCTGGGGGCTACCAGGCTGGAGCTCCCCAGCTCCCTTTGTCCTTCCCCAACTCTACACCAGGCCCCTTGCTCTCAACAGCCAGGCCCTCCTCCCTCCAAACCTAGAGAGAATCTCCTCTAGCTCCTGGCCCACAGCCCTCTTATAGGGCCAGCTGTGGCCTGATTGGGGTGTGGCCCCAGCTGTGGCTGCTTCCCCACTCGGCCTGTCCCAGCCTTACCCCTCTTCAAAGCTGCTTTTAACCCCTGTTTACCCAGGAAATGGGGCAGCCGCCCCACTACACTGCCTCAAAACCAGGATGTTTTCTCCTCGATGGGCCTTCGTTAATGTCCGGTAATCCAGCGCTACAAAGAGGCTCTGGAGACACGAGGGGCCGGTGTGCACGGTGCCGGAGGCGGCTCTGGTCAGTGGAGGCAGCTGCAGCGTTCGGTCCCTGGGCAGCTCCCCTGCTCCCGCCTGGCTGGGGCCCGGGGAGCCTGGGACTCCGCAGGTGGCCGGTGAATGGCTCCAGGAGGCAGGGGCAGAGACACATTGTCACTTTGCCCATCCGGGGCTGCCCTTGCCTCACCCCCAGTGGCCCAGGGCAGGCAGCAGGGAGCAGAGGGGCCGCTCCTGCCCGACCCAGCACGTGGGCATGTGAGCCCAGCCGGGGCTGGCACCGAGCCCGCAGGATGCCCCAGTCCCAGCCGCTCTGAAGCGCCCAGCGCAGGAGGAGGCCGTTGGGGCAGCGGGCGGCGCTGGATCCATTGGCGGCAGCAACATGGTGACCTGGCGAGGAAGTCGCAGGGGCCGGACCTGACCCAGCTCTACGGCTTCTGCTGCCCGGTGTTGGGCTCCTGCAGGACTGCGCTCGCCTGCCCTGGGCTGTGCGGATCTGGTGCAGCGAGCCCATGCCGGGCAGCGTGTCCTTCCCCGCCCTGGAGAGGAGCACGGAGTGTGAACATCACCAACATGGGGACATCTGGCCTGTGTTTCTTACATACGATGTTGGCAACGGCACATGACATTCGTGGCTCCAGCATCTCTCCGTATCAGGGCTCTCGGTTTCTTCTATTGACTCAGGGCGCCCGGATCTCCCAGCCACAAGGCCCGGCCAGGAAGGTCTCCATGTCCGGGCTCCCAGCCCAGCTGGCTCAGCAACCCTTGTGCTCAGGCTGCTCCCTGCCCTCTTTGGTGGTTTCATGAGCAAATGCGGCTGCCTCTGGGGCGCAGATCCCCCCATTGTAACACGAGCGCCGGGGCAGGGTTCTGCTGAGGTTCAGCTGCCGTCCTGGGTTAATTTCCTCTGTTCAAGTGGTTTGTTTGTGAACGACATTTGGTTGGAGCTCAGAGGTGCTGGGGAGGGGGGGGCACCTGGCTCCACATGGGGACAAACAGCACCAGCAGCCCCCAGGCCACGATCGTCCCCTCCAGACACAGATCCCAGGGGAGGAGCCTTTCCCCGGCCCCCGGGGTGGGATGGGGCAGCCCTAGATCTGTGGTTAGAGCTGGGCAGGTTCCAGGGCCGGGTGCCAGGTATTCTTGTTAGGAGGAAACAGAACAGACGCAGGGTGCCGGGTTCACTCCCTGCTCCGGGAGAATCGTCTCACAGAGACCCCGATCCCCCCACTCAGACCCCGCTGGATGCAGGAGCAGCCGTAAGTCCGGGAGACTCCTTCCCCAGCTTCTGACCCCTGACCCCCTCCCCCCAGCTCTGCCAGTGCCCCTCACTCCTGACCCACAGCCCCTGCTAGCCCAGCTCTGCCAGTGCCCCCCACTTTTGACCCGCAGCCCCTGCTAGCCCAGCCCTGCCCCCTCCAGCTCTGCCGGTGCCCCCCACTCCTGATCCGCAGCCCCTGCCAGCCCTGCCCCCCAGCTCTGCCGGTGCCCCTCACTCCCAACACGCAGCTGCCTGCTAGCTTAGCCTAGCTCTGCATGGGGCTGCAGGTCGGGAGTGAGGTGCACCGGCAGAGCCGGGGGGGCAGGGCTGGGCTAGCAGGGGCTGCAGGTCGGGACTGAGGGGCACCGGCAGAGGCGTGGGGGGGGGGCAGGGCTGGGCTAGCAGGGGCTGCAGGTCGGGACTGAGGGGCACCGGCAGAGGCGTGGGGGGGGGGCAGGGCTGGGCTAGC